GTTCAGTCCAGCACTCAGGCATCATGTTTATAATCTCTCTCACATACCCACAGACTGCTGAGGGTCTTTTGGGTTGGTTTGTCTTGCTTTATTTTTGAAAAGTTTGAACAATTCACTTCGAGCAGCCATTAGATTAGGAAACAAGTTATTGCTCTTTGGTGGAGACTGAAGCCAGCATCCTCAAACAGCAAAGAGCTTGAGGAATCCGTCATATTTTATATAGGTGATCTGGTGTGGGGATATTGTTGCTGGATTCTGCCTCTCAAATCAGTGAGTGTGGTGAGATCCTGACTCCATTATTACTCCTCATCTCAGGGATGCTGCCTACCTTATCTTTCTGTATTTCAGTTTTTCTACCTATCCCTAGGAACAGCAAATGTGGAATGCCCACAGATCTGCTTTATGTAAGAGTTGCATTCAGTGTGAGGCAGGCCAGAGCATTCCAGGCATTTTCAGCTTCTGTTATTTGTGAGTACTTTACCCTAAATTATAAAATAATCTTGATCTTGTCTTACTTTTTTTATGATCAGCATTTTAAGTTGAACAGGTCACTCCTTTCTCTACTAGGTCAAGTTCTGTGGGTTCAAGTATTTTCAGTATTTATCATGTCAGAGGATGTCAGATGCTACATTCCTCTGCACTTTTTAAATCATTGCTTCTTTCCATGAGAAAGTAAAACTTCGTTAGAAACCCATTCAGGTTTACTTTCCTTTGAAAAATATGAGGCTTTTATCTTAGAAAACATTTCTTCATCCAGAGCTTACTGATATCTACCAGATCAAGTTTTAGACAAAAAAAGGAATTTTTAATAGGGATTTAGCACTCATTAAATCTGAGATACAGTTTCTCTTTTTTGTAGGAATTATGATATATTTTTCAACATGAGGCCCTTTTTGAATCCAATCAGGCTTTTTGGAATGTAATGGAATAATACATAACCTTTACTATAACTTCTCAATTTCTACAATATAATACATTTGCTTAAGTCTGGGAGATGAAACCAAACCAATTTATTATAGCCTGTTGATTCACACTCACATGCTGTGCAGTTCATGTGAAGGTCCCATTTACTTTTTCACATGAACTGCCACAGCATGGTTTAAATAGAGATTTCTCTAGCAGTACTGTTAAAGGTTTCTCATTAACATCATTTCTGGAGTCACTGGGCCAAGTATATCCTTAATGCAATTCCACTGATCTCAGTGGGGTTATCCTTGAGATATATTTGGTCCATTGTTTCTACAGAATCTCTTTGTTCTTTTCTGATCTCTTAAAGAATTTTGTTACTTTGAACATTTCTCACAAAACAAGTCATTATGCTGAAAACTTTGCAACATTTGTAAGTAATTTCTCAGGTTTTCTATCCATTTGTACACAGAATTACATCATTCTATCCAATGACATACTGATTTTTTTTATTTTATAGCATACATATATATCCTGTTTTCCAGGAATATCAATCAATTTACTACAAGTTTTTGTTCTTGTTTATATTTTTTTTTAGATTCCAAATTTTCATGTGACTCCCAAAAATAATCTGAGACAGACTACAGGGATAGTTGTGATTATTTTCTGACCAACTCTGCCACCTGCAAATTTTTAAAGAAAGTAATGAGTGAGTAGTGGCAGAGTCATACCAATATATTTTTACACTGAAAACTGAGCTAGTCTGATGTTCTGTCTGAATGCTGAGTGTACCTAACTTCATTGGGGGTTTTGGGGAGCATTATTTCTATTAGGAAAAAATGTATGCAACATTAAAAAAATGTTAAATTCCATCTTTACACAGAATTTTGCACGAGTTGGATTTGTAATTAATGTTTATTCTGTACATTATACATGTGATCTACATGAATTACACTTTTCTTCAGGAGAATGAAAGTCTGGGTTAGAGAACACAGAACAACAAAATTAATTCCTCCCTGTGATAAATGGTTAGGTAATTTGAAAACAAATCTTTTCTCAAATTCTCAAATCTCTGATTCCTTGCTGTACTTAGATCACTGCAGTTTTGAACAGACTTTTGGTGGTCTTAATCATGTATATTAATTTTTCCCAGGAAATCATGAACTTAGTACGGGAACTTCTTCATTTGCTTTTGCATTCAAAGATTCTGTCAGCTACTGCAAGGATAATGCATATAATATATAAAAACTAAATCTGATTTTTGACAAATACATAATCAACCAGCAGAGGAAAGTGACTTGGACAGGGACACCTGATTCCCTGTGCTCATACTTTTTGTCAAGGTCTTCTATTTCTCCAAACTCTTAAAATAATTCAGTTCTAATGTGAGATTGAATTCTGCAGAGAACACACGACATGCCTCAGAAAAATTAAACCACTGCCAATTAATTGCTGCTTGCACAAATAAATTTTGCATCTGGTGATAACAAAAAGTGGAAATGCTGGCATGGGAAACTCTGCTGCTAACATGGCCTTTGCTCTACACACAGACACAGACACACTCCTTCAGGAAAGTGCTGCAAGAGAAGCGCACCTGTGACTTGAGCTGCAGATTTTTTTGTAAAACTTTCAGTCTCCTTGAATATGTTCTTATTAACTGTCAAAGCAGAAATGATACTGCTTCTAAGGATGTGAAAAATTCTCATTTAAAGCAAATGAGAATCAAAGCTTGTGCTCAAACTGCATGCACAGGATTGCTTTATGTTTATAGAGATATATATGTGAGACAAAATGGAAAAATGTAATTTAGTTTTATTTAATGTCTCTCTCAAAATCCTACAGACCACGATCAGATGAATTAGGTGCTGGTGAGTACAGTGACTGTGTAGGCAAACATTAACAGCCAAGCTTCAGTCAGTAACAGCCCTGCATGTTATATGATGTGTTAAGAAAGTGAATGTTAGCTAGAAACCTGGGGTTGTTCCTGTGCTCTTCCCAAAAGTGCAGTGTGATCATTTATCTACAAAATGCAAGAGCTCAGATAAAGAACTGAGGGTCTCATCTGAGAGCTGAAGCCTTCAGGAAGCACCTGGTACATCACTGGAGTGTTTGTATTATTTAACAGCCCCAATCTCTGTGTGTTACTCATGTCTTCCTGGTCTGCAGGTCACTGAGACCAAATGACAACCTGCTGAACCATATTTCAACTCTGATCTTTGCACAGAATAGTCCACAAAATCTTTCCATCAACAGAATAGTCAGAAAATGAGGCAATAACCTGTAATCTCCATTTCTTGAGCAACACCTTGCACTCCCTTCTATTAACATCAATTGATTTCACAGGGCATACATGAAGTCATGACTTTGTATCACCTAAGAGCTCATCTTGTGCAACACAGCAGATCCTCCTGAGGTTCAAACACAAGAAATAGGACACACAGTTGTGTGTGATGGAAACACTCTGCTGAGACTACCATACCATCCTTGAGATGTGCATCCTGCAAAATACAGCAGAATCACAGAGTAGAGATGCCATTTTGGCATTCTCAGAGTGCTCTAGGGGGCTGACTGCACTTCTTCGTCCACTGAGCCTCAGTGCCAGCATGTGCTGATTGGAAATTAAGATTACACAGGACTTTTCAGAGATATAAACCTTGCATGCACATCCTGGAGGGGCCCTTCCAACTGGCAGCCATCCTTGGACTATTTTGGCAGGGTCTATATTGTGCTCCAAAATCACTCCTAGGGGCCCTCCTGAGAGCTGTGCAGCTTGGAGCTCTTCATCCATGCAGGCTTTCCATGCTCTTCATCCACTGCAGGCTTTCAGAGAGCTCCTGAGTGCCACAGGGCCTTCACATTCTCACTGCCCTTTGGCACAAGCAGGAAAAGTCCCTTGAAAGACTTTTTTAGAGCCAAAGAAACTGACTTTTGTTAGTTCCCAAGATCTCCATTGCAAGGGCAAAACCCAGGTTTTAAGCAGGGGAGAACTTAAAACATTAATGACTTTCTCATACTGGGAGCATAAGAAAACCATATAACACCTTTTTTTTTTTTTTTCCACCCGTCCTTAGCTCAAGGGCCTGCCCTCAGAGTACAAAGACTTGGTCAAACCAGCTTTGTGAAGAGGAAAACCCCAAGGACTCAGACCCTCAAGGTGTACAGATCTGTACTGTGCTGTAACAAACCCATTCAGGGCATTGATAAAATCTACTTTCCTGACAAATCAAACAAAATCAAATGAAAAATACTCCATCAGGCTTTGTCTTTAATTTAATTTAATTTTAAAAATGCTCCAATTTACAGACTCATGCATGACCATTTTAATAGCACTGGACCCACTGTTAGTTGAAAGACCCAGTTTCTTGGGTTATTTTGGTATTTTCATTCAGAATCACTAATAGTGATGAGTAACTTCCTGGATAATAAGTGCATCAGGCAATGCATGTTTTTTCTCAACCCATTAAGCTCCTAACAGGGCAGCTCCCTCTCTAGGGTTGCTGCTCTGTCCCAGGTTTTCATCTCTTCATGCAGATCTGTATAGTCTAGAGTCAAACTTTGAGCAATCAGTACCACCAGGGCAGTGTTTTTAATGAGAAAAGCAGTTAAATAAATGGAATGTCATCAAGACATACGACTGTTTTGGAGATGATGCCAAGAGTATAACAGAAAGTTAGTTTAAGACATTACTTGCTATCCATTTATTTTTAATGCATATGAAATTATAGAAACAAAGCACTTTAATTAGCTGAAGAAATAGAAACTTTTTGCACACAGTTTCAAATCCCAGTAGTATTTCAGCCTCTTGGAGTTGTCTCTTGGACTGTAAAAGAGGGATCTGGACAGTCTCTTAAAGGCTCTGACTCTTAAATCCTCAAGTGACATGTATATATGCTTAAGGAATGGGTCAGCTTGCAGACAGAAATGTCCCAAACTTACAAAAAAAAAAAAAAAAAAAAAAGGAAAAAGGAAAGAAACAGATTGGTGGTTAGAGCAGAGCTGTGAAAGCTTTTCCCCTCAGCTGGCTGTGTTTGTGCCAAGATTCAGTGTTCACTTACACATGATGTGAAAAAAAGTGATGTGGTTGAATATTCTTGTCACATGCTTCGGCTTTTTTTCTGTTTTTGGAAAATGCTTTTTTCTGTGACTGTTTAGTTCAATGCATTGAACTTTCACTTCCAAACCTGCCATGCCATTTCGTCTGCAGCAGCTAGAAATTTAAAGATACATTAAGGTAATAAGAGACAGTGTTTTTCTTGTTTTTTTTCCACATGAACTTTTCCCGTTCAGAAAGAATACTTTTGCAATGCCAGTGAACATAGGTGAAGATACAGCTGGCTTTAGCTTGTTAGGAACTGCACACAGAATAACCCTCTTCTGGGTCTTGCACCTATCCTCATCTACCACCCCTTTCTTCTTTGTTGTACATTTCTCATGTAATCAGCAGCTCAGAGCAGAGTCACAAGGTTTACTGAGCCAGAAGAATTTTTAAAATCCTAGCTGTTATTGTATTCTTTCCCAGGTGAAATGAAGACCAGCCCTTTCCCTGGAAATCCGCCTTTGAGTTCTACTGGCAATGCACAGTTCTAAGACCACAGCTCTGCAAAACACAAGTTAGTGGTATTGGGAAGAATCACTGGAGAAACAGGAAAGTAAAAAGAGGGTTTGAATATTTGAGTCCTTAGACCTGCTCCTTTGCATTTTTCTTTGTTTCCCTGCTCTCAAGATGGGAAGTAATTTGGCTCACTGTTTTCACACTATGAACACCACTTAAATATTTAGTTTACTTTTGGAAATTTTGAAAAATGTTTTGCAAGCAGAGTAGCACAGGCAACAGGACAGAGTATGTTGTGAGTCATCACTTTCATTCTCAGTCAAAGTTCTTTATTTTTCAGTTTTGTGGCATTCTAGAAGTACCCCCCATGGGAACCACACCAATGATATAATAATTGCTGTTTTCACCCAAGAAATTTATTACCCTTCTTTGAGGGGGAACCAAAACTCTTGGTAAGCAGAAACTTTCCAGATACCCAAATTGCCCAAACTGTTTGGCTCTATGCAGCTGCAAGGAAGCTTCAGAGAAAGACAATTAAAATTATTGTATGGCAGGTACTTTCTTATTGCATTGTAACTAAATGCAGCATCTCAGCCTGGAAGCAGCTCTATAAACTAGGTAATACTGGATGAAAAATATTAAATTATTATTTTCAGCCTAGATAATTAACGTTCTTCAGTATCAGATTCCCATGAGGTGCTAAATGAAGTAATGTCTTAATTCATACTTGTGTCCTCTTTGGTTTTTGCAGTAAGTTCAAAATAACTCTACAGAGACATTACAGAGTCAGATGGGTAAAAATTTAACATTTTGAAAACACCTATAGTCCCTTTGCCTGTCCACAATAATAATTTTTGAAGGAAGAGACTTGTAGAGGCTTACAGTCAACATATCTTTTGGATACTGAGGATATCTAGTGCTGAATGATTTTGCATATTATGACACCTGCATCTAAAACAACAGTGTTAATATTAGCAGTGCCATCCACTTCAATATAATAAATTTCTTTTTTTAATATCAACGTTAAACCCATCGTTTTATAGACCTTTGGGGATAAAAAAAAATTAAAGACAATCTTCAGTGCTTTTTAACTGTAAACCCATTGAGAGTATAAATTGTTCCCTGCCTTTGGGGGAAAAAAAGAAAAAGGCAATTGTAGTTTTACTAGAAGTCTACCCAAATTCTTTGCCTCTGGAAAAATTCTTGAAGATGATAGTATGGAGGTTATTTCAGTAAACAAGAAATGCCAGGAAAAAATGTAAATGGATTTTATACATCCTGAATTTGAATTGCCTCAAACAATGTGACTGACAAACATTGACAGGGGAAAGAATCGAATGCAGATAAGAGTCCTGCAGAAGGTATCACACCAATTTCAATCCATAGATATACAGAGTTACAGCAAAATTCTTTCCATGTCTTGCTACAATTAGCAGAAGAATTTATTTCTCATTAAATAGGAATTTGATAAAGAATAAGAAAATAATTAGAAATTAAATGCACAGAAGGAACTTCCAAATATCCCAATTCACCAAAACCTGAATAGGTGCCAAGGCACATAAGAATAAGCTTTGCAAAGTCTGACACAGTGCTTAGAGAGGCACCAAAGCCAGGCAACAGGAAATGCTGAGCACAAAATTCCAGGTTTCTCTAGAGTTATACTGCATTCATACCCCTCACCTAAGTTTGGGTGTCACTAAAAAAACAAGCAAAGAAATGTGTGAATAGGACTTTAAAGCAAGGCTTACTTGGAAAGAAAATGCTACAGGTCTTTTCCCTGCTTGGTTTAACATAAAATACTGAACTATGAATCAGAGCAGTCCAAAATATCCATTTCTCCCCTTCCAGGCAAGTTCTCTAACCTCAAGGGCAACAGTTCAGCAAGTATTTCATTATTTCATTCAAAATGGAACAGTTTCCACAGAAATATTCAGAGGCTCCTCTGATCCCAGATTTCCCCATGGCATCCTCCAGAAACTTTTGCAGAGAGATTTTTAAGCCAGAATTCTGTTGGACAAAGGGAGGAAAAAAACCCAGGTTTTCAAGTCCCAAGTGCTGAGGTGCTGGGCAAAAGCACAAATACAAGAACAAAAGCCAGTGTGCTAAAAACATTCAATAATTCCATGAATCTTCAGTTCTAAATTTTTCGTGAAACACATAACTGACTGAAATAGGGGGACCGCAGTCCCAAAGGCTCCACTGAGACTTGTTGTGGAACAGAAGTTCGAATAGAGATTGTTTTAGCTCTGCTTCCTTTTTTTTGAGGGGGAACAGGAGTGGTTGGGTTTTTTTTTTTGGTTTGTTGTTACTGTTAAAGCATTTTTGTTTGTATCTCTTATTAGATACTCATCCATCACTTTGTTTTCTTCTCAGATGTTCATTTGTTACTGCACATGATTAGCATCAGACTTGTGAGCGACATCATAATTTCCAAAATTCCTTTTAGCCTCCGGTTATGATGTTTTCTAGTTTTTGAATTGCTATTTATGAAATTTTTATGATTTGGAGTCATTCTGTAAAACGTGAAAAATAGTAAAAAAATTGAGAAAAGGATTTTTGAGGGAGTTCTTGCAATACTCTTAGAGAAAATGAAGCCTTGCTGTGAAAACTACCAGTGGAATTGTTTATATCCAGAACATTCCTAGCAAGTCGTTGCTTCAAATGTGTTTTAAAAATTTCTCCTGGAAGACAGTCCACAACCTATTCAGAAGCTTGCCCGAGTGACAGGGAGACTAAAAATTATGGATTCTTAGAGTATGATTTCCAGAAGATACATATTCAGGCTTCTATAAAAATCACAGTGTTTGTTTCAGGTCCCACTGAGCAAGAAAGTGGTTTTACAGAATTATTGTTTTTCAAATCCCAGTTGCAAAGGAGGTTCCTGCACCAAAGAATCTGCTATTGAGTTAGATTGCACATAGGCTACAGATGGAAAAACAACTTATACAAGCACCAAGTGGCAAGCAGGTGAACTGAGGGTTTGGAGCTGGCAATCAGCACCTTCATTCCTCTGATTTCTCTCTCCAATTTCTGGCTTTTGTCAGGGCCTCATGATGGGGTTGGGGAAGTTTCCTTCTTTCTGACCCTTTCTAGTGGTTCTCCTGTGGTTTGATGGGAATGTCACCAAAAAAAAGTGTATTTTGAGGAAGAGACCATGGAAGAATTCTCAGCAAAACAATAATGGATGAAAATAATGGCATATGTGTGGCAGTAGGAAACAGGGCATTTTTTATGTTTTTTTTAATAGGCCACTGAAGAAGCATAGTGAACACAAATGGACCTTTGCTGTAATCTCCATATGGCCTTGGCCTATAACATCACAGTAATTGTATCACATTGCTAACCACTGTTTAACTTTGCTACCACTTATCTTCTGGCATTAGAGCAGGCAACCAGTGCACCAGGAAGAGGGGAAGGCTGGAAGGAGAAGTACACAGTCAGTTCCCCTTAGTGCAGTGGGGAAGTATGCCCCAGCCTCACCACTGGGTAGAGAGGAAGGGGAAGTTCTCAAAGAATCTCTTCTGGTTTTAGGTCCTTTTTTTTTTAGGTAAAAATAAGAATTTCTGGAAGCAGGATGCTCTCCCGAGACTAGTAAGGATCAGCAGATACAGGTTTATGGAAAGAGGAATGAGACTTAGAATTCACTGCTTTTTAAGTGTAAAAAATGTAGGATTAGTAGCTTACACATAGTAAACGGCACAGTGTGTCGAAAAGACGGAAAGGGCTTAAGAGGTCTCACAAACCACAGGAGACTGAGTAGAGATAAAGCAGGAGGGTTCAGCATGTTCTACCAAGCCCTGTATAAAATAAAAGACACAAATCTAACACAGAAGTTGAAAGTAGCTGATTTGTATAATGGAGAAAATCAAGATCACTGGATTTCAGTTTAGGTGATCTGGTGGTGCCTGTATTGTTACACACAGGATAATCAGCTGTGTGACAGCACGTGACAGTATTTTTGCATGAACCATTTTCATCCCAGGTAATTTCTTATTTAGGTCTCAAAAATATGAGGGGAGTTACTGCATGTGTTTTTGTCTCAGTCCATAGAGTACTACAGTCAACAAAAGGAGCTGCTGTAGTTTGTGGGTACCAAGACAAAATTTTGGTAACTTTTTTTTTTTTTAATTGTTATGTGACATCTTCCAGCATATATAAAGGGCTACAGTTTGTTGTCCAGCTGGAAATTTGCTCTTCTCAGCCAAAATAAAACACCTGCTCTGTCATAGCTTGACTGTGACTTTCATGGGCTGGCAACTGGGGTAACTTGCCAGGCGCAAACAGCCTGAAAGGAAAAAAACATTGTCTATGAAAAACATAATATGAATTCAGTATTGTTGCTCATGGGCTCATGTTTTGAGGGAAAAATTTGTTAATGTTAAATTTCGTTACTACTCTGCAGTTCAGAGCAGCACCTATTGCCTCCTTCACTGTACTGGTAGAGGGGTAGCACACATAAAATGTAATCTTTTTGTGTAATGTTTATATCAATGCCATACTGAAGTTGGAGAAGGTGAGTCAACTGAAGTTTATTTGTGAGAGAAAAACCGTGTGTTCTCAAGCTTTGAACTACCTGAAAAAGATCAAAAAATGTTAAATAATTTTTAATATATATAAAATAGCATTTTATATATGCGTGAAATAGCATCAAGTTCCTAATACTCAAAAGGAGACTTTCCAGATACAGAGGAATGTTGGACAAAGGAAAACAACAAATTTCCTGACTGCTCTGTAAAATTGAAGCATGAAAGCCATTTTGGGTTGCCTAAACAATTGTAGGAATCAAATAGTCTGGAAAATATAATTTCATGTCTGACAAAGTTAGGCAAAAACTTCCTGTCATCCAAAGTGCTAAATCTTCAAGTATTGCATTTTTGTATGTGAGAATTACAAATGAAAATGAAAAACCAACCAAAATACCCACCAAACCTTTTACCTGGTCAATATTCAGGAGTTTTGCATTAACAATAAGATAAAGCATAAATGAATTTGTGAAATGCTTCAGTTCACTATGTTTTACCAAAAAAAAAGTTTAAAATGCTCTTCTGTATCTACTGAAGAGCACAGCCTGTCAGATCCAGCAGAACACTTGATCATATATTTAACTTCAAACATGTGAGAAGGCCTATTTTATTAGTTCTTGCAATTAATCAGAAGTAATTTTTAAAGCTAACACTTCATACAAAACTAAACTAGTTTTGTATGTCTGCATTTCAGACATATTTTTGCCTTTTTCCTCCATTCAAAAAATATAACTTATTTGTGATACTCATAAGCAATTCTTCTCTTCAGTAAACAAATCTGTGACTTAAAAAATGGAACCTTGTAAAAAAAAAAACCTTTTGCTAAAGAAATATCTTGAACTTGAAATTCAAGAATCTGACATTTTCAATTATTTTTCTTGAGTGAACTCAAATGAAAATTTCCAGTGGGTTCTCTCAGAAAGACTTATTTTATTTGAAGCCTTTTTAATTGTAGAATTTCTTGTTCTTAATAAACTGTATAAATTACTCTTTCTTGAAATGTGTTTTTCAAAATAATATGGTTAAATACAGACCAGCAATTTCCCTTCTCAGTTCTTCTCAGTTGTTCCTGATAGCTACAAGCAGTTGTTTCTTGGGTGTACAAAACACAAAGTCTGTTGCAACCCCTCTTGAGCAACACGAGCCATACTAAAATGGGCACTAAATATACTGACAGCACAAAAATTTTAAAAATAAATAGAAAAAATAAAGGAAAACCAGTCATTCACAAGTAGATTAAATCTTAATCTAGTTATCCAGAAGAAAAATAATTATTTTTATGGTAAAATTAGTAGCTTTGAATATTGTATGGTTGAAAATAGAACAAGAAAAAATGTTTAAAGGCACTCTCTTCTGTCATTGTTTGGCTTCATCTGTTTCTGACCCCCCATGGTGTAATATCATATTCCAGGAAAACAGTTGTTTTCACTCTTTCCACTTGCTCCAATATTCCCATACTTCTGATATTTTGTTTCCATCTGATGCAAGAAAGAAAAAAAAAAAATAAGAGGGGGGAAAAAACAATTACTCACATCTAAAATTATACCAGCAAGGAACTAACAATTAAGCAAGAAAAGCCTTGGTTGTCCAGCATTGAACCCTTACCTTCAGACTGCAGGACACATGTAAGGGGGGAAAAGGAAGCCTTCTACACCCCTCTCAGAATACTGAGAGGCAATTCTTGGTTTGACACATGCACTGCAAATTCCTCTGATCCCCTGAATGCTACCAAGACTGTCAGTCAGGCTGTGTCTCCTCTTAGGGTCTTATCCCAACCTTTTTTTAGGACTGCCATAAGCGCTACAAGGAAAGAGTTCCCTTGGATCTATCTTTGGTTCAGATAGATCATGGCATACAGATCTTAAATTGCTTTTGTGAAGGAGTTGGTAGTTGGTGCTGTTTGGAGACTAGTTGACAATTTGTTTTAATGAGATTAGCTTAATCCTTATAGTCAGAAAGTGAGCAAAAGCTCAATGTCAACTTCAACAAATAAAAAATAAATTACTAAAAGTGTGAGTTAGTTCTCGTGCCTCCACTTTCTCTGCAAAAAAAAAAAAAAAACAAAAACAACCCCAAAGGATGATACTGACTAAAAAAAGGCAAGAACCTGAAACAAAAAGAGGAGGAAAATATTTTATTTAACTTCTGGATTCAGCATTTTAGAGGAGCATTCTGCACTTACAAAATTTTTCTGCAATTACAGAATCTATAAATTTGCTTTCCCATTTTAAGGAAAAATGAGATGATCGTTACAGACTAAAAACAGTCATGAGACTCAGGTGAAGCAGAACCAGAGTCACATGCGTGATAAACAACTCTTCCTCAGACAAATGGAAACTCCCAAGATCCCCACTAGAGGAGAGACAAGAAGTCTGTGTGAGTTGTGGTCTGACTGGGGAATTTGGACACAAATAGTTTGTCCTGTACTTATACAAGAGGTTAATCAGAAGACCGTTTGGGAGCCTGTAGCTTCAAATACTAAAACATGCAGCATTCAGTAAAAAAAAAAAAAAAAAAAAAAAAAAAAAGAGAAAAATTATGAGAGAAGGACAGAAGAAAAAAGCTGCACATCTGCTCTTAGGGAATACCACATTCCCAAGTAGATTAAACATGCTAAACTGGGATATTTGCTTTTAGTTTAGCTTGGTGTTGTACTTAAGGAGTAGACAGATCAAAGTACTCTCTCTGAAGACTTTTGGCTTTCTAAAGCCTGTGCTGACATGTGGCACACCTGGAACAAGGTTGTAGTTACATGTTCAAGTAGCCTGCTTGGAACTAGAGGTATTTCAGTGTGTAATCCAGGGCTCAGGGAATTTTCCTCCATGGAAAAGGGGATTGGGGTGTGAGCCCTTGTGCACCAACAAGTTACCGCACAAATATTTATCCTTCCCAAATTGGATTGGTTGTTCTTTAAATAAGGCAACACCATACCTCCATGTCTGTACAAAAGTAATTATTCCATCTGAAAAAGAAAATTGAATAAACCCTTTGTTACAGCTGTACAGACAAAGCCAGTTTTTATAGATCAGCCTTACTCAAAAAGAAGCAGGGCTGACAACACTTCAACATTTTGCAAACCAGAAATCTTCTATTTGGAATTTTTTTCTTGGATTGATTTTTGTTTTGGAACTTCTCTAAACACTATTTAACTTCAAAAATATCCTTCCCAAGCTGTACCATATGACATGTTGTGAACACAGAATCTACAAGAGCTGCTTTCATTCTAAAAGTCAGGCGCTTTTATTTAGCAGGGCAGACTTACAGATGTTTCAGTAGATCTAACACCAAGGAAAAAAAAAGATTAGACAATGTGAGCCATGGTAAATTCTAAATAGGCTTTCTGTTTGCACCTCTAATTCATAAAGCCTTGAGTTTTCACACGGCATTGAGGTAATGCTGTGCTAACAGAAAATAAACTCTGGTTTATAAACTGCACAGAATTGTGAGAGGGATGTTAGAAAAAAAGAGGATGTTAAAAAAAAAAAATGAAGCAGTAACTAATCATAGAAAAGAGCTCAAATAAAGACCTATTTTCCATTAAGGCCCCAAAGAACTTTTACAGTACCATCACTTTGTGTGGTGTCAAACAGGGCAGTTCTGT